CCCAGCAGCAGAGACAAAAAGACATCTGAGACATGTGGATGGGGAGGAAAACTGAGAGCACTTTGTGAGGCCGCTGCGCTCCGGTTTCACAAGCTCTGTGTCAGTCAGGCGGAGCGGCGCGGCGCTTTTACGCGCAGCATCAGAGACACTCGGGACACTCGGGACACTCGGGACACTCGGGACACTCGGGACACCGCGGAGACACTGTGGACACCAGAGTCCGGAACGCTGGGTTCAACCTGAAGAAATGTGTCAAAGGAAAGCTGCCTTGTTGGGGGCGTGACGCGCACTTTCCTCCCCAGTGAGATATTTGACCTCGGGCTGCAGAGCCACCTGACGCGTCACAGCGGAGCTGCGCTTTGGCTGTTTGTCTTTATTCAGGGACTCTCCGCGGACATTAGTTCACTTTGTTTTCCTTTTTTAAAGACTCTGTAAAGAATATCGCGAGGGATATCCTCCTGTGTTATTATTTACTCATTAGCCTCGCGAGCTGTTTGGAGACAAGACCGAACAGGTTGGAGGGAAGAAGAGGGGTGTCGCGCCTGAAAAACTTGCTTCAGTTCATCAAGCGATGGTTCGTGAGTCACAGGAGTGGCACAAGTAAACACTTTCTGCCCCCTGTCTATGTGTGACGTTGTGTTACTGCTGAAAACACGTCCAGATGAACTAAATGACGCTTTTCTTTCAACATGTTTSATCCAAGTTCCTGTTCGGAACAAAGGAAGAAACTCCAGCTTTTTAMAAAGTCTCTAAACTGAGTTTGGAAACGATCCAACAGTTTGTCTGATCTGACTGAAGGACTGCAGCTCCACATCCACTTTCCCTTTTCCTGCTCGGGCTGCTGAAAGTGAAAAAGTCCGGAGGAGGAAAAAAAACAGGTTTCTGGCTGCGCGCAGAGGAGGAGGCGCCTGCGCCGCTTCTCCATGGCTCCTTCACGCTTCCTGCAGAGGACACAGCCTGCCCGGGACGTCCGCGCGCTCTGACAACATGCTGGGAAACATGACCGCCCGCGGCGGGGGGACAACCGCAGACACGAGCGGCAGCCCGCGTGGAGGAGGCGGCGGCTCTGCCGGCCTCTCCGGTGCGCACCGGGAGCCCACCGGGCCGGAGGGGCGCGGGGCAGCGGGTAAGGCTCTGTGGGGTCCGGCTCTGGGGTTTACGACTTTACTGCAGACATGCTGGGTTTTAGAAGAGGAATCATGTTGTTGTTGTTGTGGAAGCTGTTTGTGAAAACAGGACGTGATTGTTTGATTTCCTTTGACCTGAGTGGAAAAGTCTCGCGCGCACCTGCAGCTGTGGTGGTCTCCTCTGACAGACCCCCGGTCTCTTCTGATCTTCATGCTTTATGAAAGAGAACTGCGTGGATTCTGGTCTGACGTGTTGATGGTCTGAGTGCTGCAGGCAGCAGTCAGTGTGTGTGTGGTGGGGGTCTGTGGTGGTCTGTGTATGGTGTGTGTGTGGGGGGGTCTGTGGTGGGGGTCTGTGGTGGGCTGCAAACAAAATGTTCAAACTGTTGTAAACATGCACGAGGAACACTTGAAGTGTTTTAGAACTTCTTCTGCAGGGATGCTGCTCACC